TTTCCTTCTCCAGTGCATGAAAGTAAAAAGTGAAAGTGAAGTCGCTCAGTCGTGTCCGACTCTTAGCGACCCCATGGACTGCAGCCTACCAGGCTCCTCTTTCCATGGGATTTTCCAGGCAAGAGTACCAGAGTGGGGTGTCACTGCCTTCTCCACAATGGAATATTACTCAGCCATAAAAAGGAACACATTTGACTCAGTTCTAACAAGGTAGATGAATCTAAGCCTATTATACCAAGTGAAATAAGTTCAGAAAGAGAAATATCGTATATTAATGCACATATATGGAATCTAGAAAGATGGTACTGATGAACCTGTCTGCAGGGCAGCAGTGGAGATGCAAACATAGAGAACAGACTTGTGGACACGGTGCGGGAAGGAGAAGGTGGGATGAATTAAGAAAGTAGCATTGAAACGTATACATTACCATATGTAAAATTAAGTAACCAGTGTAAATTTACTGTATGAGGCAGGTAGCTCAAATCCAATGCTCTGTGATAACCTACAGGGGTGGGATGGGGTGGGAGGTGGGAGTGAGGTTCAAGAGGGAGGGAACATACCTACACCCATGGCTGATTCATGATATATGGTAGAAACCAACACAATACTATAAAGCAATTATCATCCAATTAAACACAAAAAAATAAAAAATAAAAAATTCAAATGGTATTTATGGACATTTATTGAGAACCTGCTGTGTTCATGTACTGTTCTAATTATGGGAACTACAAATAAAAATGCAAAGCTGCTTGTTTTCAATAAAATCATTATTGGCAGAAAGTACTGCTTGAATTATATTGAAAATATTCCTACCAAATAAAGAAAATGAGAAAATAAAAAGAAAAAAGAAAAGAAGACTGTCTGATCTTGACTCCCAACAAAAAGAGATAGCAAAAGAAGAGTTTCTACTCTAAACCTAAATTTGAATAAGGCTGAGGAGTTAGTTGGTAAAATGAGGAAGTGGTAGAAATTTCAGGAAAAGGCAACCATGTTTTCCTAGAGTCTGGGTAGTCAAATTTATATCATAGGCTTTAACCAAAATCATAGGATCATATATTTTAAAAACAAATTGAAATATACTTTTCTCCAAAAAGAAACAGAATGCACAAAATCTAGTGGTAAATATAGGCATCCAGAAAGGCCTCATTGCAGAAGCAACATCTGAGCTGAGTCCTTCAGAATGAGGTAGAATTTGAATAGATGGAGATAGAAGGGACAACATGAACAAAAGTTCAATGGTGAGGTGATTTTAAAGTTTGTATATTAATTTGGTTGGACTGTATGATATAGGAAAGAGAATAACGGGAGGCAAGGATGGAGTTTGAATACCTAGCTAAGGAATATAGACTTTAATATAGTTTTAAGCTGAAGAGTGGCAGGATCAGTGCTGTTTCAAGAAGATTAATCTGGTAGCAGTATGGAAAATGGACTGGGACAGGGAAACACTAAAAACATTGAGCTGAGTTAAGCGGTTACTATGATATTAAAGGAAAGAGGGGCAGGGGACTTGACCTCAGATAATAAGAATAGAGAGGAAAAAATACACACAATAGATGTTATGGTCTTAGAGCAGGCAAGACATAAGTAATCAGGTGACATTAGGGGAATGCTTCAGGAAGATTAACCTGACCTAAAGAACAGAGCAAATTAGAAGAGTGACAGATTGGACATAGGGAAGCTAATTAGGAGTTTATTGAAGAAGTCTTGATGAGAACAAGCAGTGGGAAGGGGAAGGGAAGAACAGTTACAACTCATAAGAAAAAATTTGACATGACTTAGTAATGAAATGCGTGTAAAGGGTGAGAAGGCTGAAAGTGACTGAGGTTTCAAGCCTGGGTGAGTAGACAGTGGTGGTACTGCTATTAACAGAAAGACAGAAGTTAGAATGAGAAGTTAGCTGGAGGGGAAACAACAAAGTGAGAAACAGAAGTAAAAAAATAAAGAAGTCAAAAGATTTACATGGTGAGCCAATGACATCAGATTTTGAAAGAACATATGAAAGAGGTGTGAGAAAGAATTAAACCTAGGATGGGCTTAAAGAAGTGCTGAGAACTTGTAAAAATAAGATCAGGAAGGTTAAAACTCTAAGTCTTGTCACATAGTAGGAACTCCAAAAACACTTGGTGTTGAATGACTGAACAGAAGCTTGTGAATTTTTCCCTCCATAACATACCGCCTTTCAGGCTTTTTGCTGCGTGGAGATGCTATGTGAGAAGCAAGAAGGAAGAGCCATTCAAACACTATTTTGCTTCTTTCCTTTCTAGAAAAGGAGAGTGGGCTTTGCTTGATGAAGTGGAGCACAAGAAGCACAACATGGGTAAGGAACTAGGTACTTACTACCAGTTTAAGTGAATTCAAGTCCAGTGAAGTACAGAAGCACGGGGTATTAAGTGAAGGGAGAAGAATTAGCTTTGGTGTTGTAGTCTGTGTTTATCTGGCTACACTGGTATTAGAAACTTAGCTGAGGAGTTAAAAGTATGAGATATATTTTTAAAAAGTATGTAGTCAGCAGAACTACATTCAAATTCTGACTAGATCACTGCAGTAGCAGTGTGACCTTTGGTAAGTCACTTGATCTCTTCAGTATTCTGTATCTGTAAAAATAGGGATAACAATCTATCTCATGGAATTACTGTGAGGATTAAATGAGTTAAGATATGCAAAGCACTTGGTTAAGTGACTAGCTCTTATTATAATAAGTGCTACCGAAAATGGGTATCTGCTAGACTTGGATCAACTACATACTTGTGAGTTTCCATGAGAGAGGAGTGATAAAGAAGAGGTCTCTTTGGCCTCTACAACTATATCCAGCGCATAGTGCTCAATAAATGCACGCTTAGTTGCTCAGTCCTGTCTGACTCTTTGCAACCTCAAGGACTGCAGCCTGCCAGGCTCCTCTGTCTATGGGATTCTCCAGGCAAGAATACTGGGGTGGGTTGCCATTTCCTACTCCAGGACATCTTCCCAACCCAGGGATCAAGCCTGAGTCTTCTATGTCTTCTGTATTGGCTGGTGGATCCTTTACCCCTGAACCACCTGGGAAGCACTCAATAAATATTTGTTGAACGAATAAACATGGATTCTCACACCCCAAGTTCAGAGGCAGAGAGACTCTAATCTCATGTAATGTAAGCCAGGATGGAAAAGAATATTCTTTCCCAACCTTATTATAAACTATTATTGCTACATAATACCTCATTGCTTGGGTGAATTATTGTTCCTCTAACTTTTCCCCTATTTCAATTTAACCATTCCTCTACTTAGGACATTAAAGTTGTTTCCAGTTTTTTACCATTGTAAATAACACTGAGATAAACATGACCATACATATATCTTCTCTCCCTTTTCTCATTGTTTTCTTGGGCTGTATTCTTGGTCATGGAATTAAAGTGTTGAAGGTTACCACTTTTCAGAAAATTTATACTCCCTCTATCAGTGTTTTAAAATGCAAATGTCTGTTTAAGATATCATGTACAAAAGAATGTATTGAAGCCCCTTGAGAGAAATTTCTCCCCAGTAGATCTCCAAGATCCTGAGGAGTCAGGTAGAGTACAGTAAACTGAGCCGTTGGGCTTTAACAGTCAGGAGGTCTCTGTTGCCTCTGCTCTGCAAAGATAGGAGATGGGTGTTCAGTCAGATAGGAAACAGGAACTCAGTGGGTGGACCTAAAAGGGAGTGTGGGCTTTGAAACAGGAAAAAAGAAGTCTGCTTCTGATAGTGAAAGAGACACATTATTGTGAAGTCTTGATCTCCCATATCCTCCTGGGTCAAACTGTTATTCTCTATCCACTAAGCAGTTGTACCCAACCCTGAATTGTATTTGCAGTTTTTTCATTTTGCTTTCTCAGTGTTGTATTACTGTTTCATGTATATGATCTTTTTAGATTTTTCATTTCAGGAAATGGTAAACCAGAAACCAGGCAGTTATTTGATACTTTCCTCTTCCTTCACAAGTTCTTTCTCTAAAATACTACTTTAATTGCTTTACTTTTCTCATCTTGACTTCAGTATCCAATTCCAAGCCAAAACTGTCTCTTGCCTAGACAAGAGGGCACATCAGTGCCCTCCTACCTCATTTTCTTGTTTTCATTTTTGCTTCGGAAAGTTCATTTCTAAATTTTGGCACAATTAATCATTTAAACATTTAAATAGATGATGTCATTTCTAATGACTTCTTTCTGTACCTAAAGCCCCACGTCCTCAGTTTGGGCTACAAATCTTGTATGATTTGACCTTGCTCACTTTTAGCTCCTCACCTTCTGGCTCTCGCTATTGTTGCTCATTTTGTTTCAGTCACAATGATCATTCCATTCTTGATTTGAGGATCAGCTCTTTCTGGCCTTTGGGTCTTTGCATATGCATTTCTCTGCACCTGGAATGGTCTTCCTGCCACCCTGCACCTAGCTAATTCCCATTCATCGGGCAGATCTCAGCTTAATAGTCGCTTTCATAGAGAAGCTCTATTATAGCAAGCCCTTGTTTTCCTTCATAAACTTCTCTCAATTAACAATATACATATTTAATTCTGTCTCTTTCATTAGAAAGATTTTGAGACCACAGATAATGTCTACCATAATAGACTGAATACCTGGGACTTAGCACAATTTCTAGCATAGACTAAGTGTTCTTCATTGAAATAAACCATAATATCCAGCATAGTGATAGGAAAAAAATAGGGTTTAAGATATAGTTACTTAAGGACAATTCCCTATTGCCAATAAAATGTAAAATCAGGGATTTTCAAGTTTAGTCATATAACTGAATTCAGGAATTATTCGCTATAGCATGAAACCAACAAAGGCAAGTCATACTTAATCCATATTTCAAAGTATGTCCAGTTTTTCTCTATCCTCTGGAAGACTGGGACAGATTTGGGATCAGGGCAGGATTAAATTAGCTGCTTTCCTATGGAGGGTACTTTAACACTCTTCACCATCTGGTGACATGCGCTCTCACCATTAACAATCTTCTCTTCATCACCTGGTGACATGGGTACTCACCAGCAGGCTGTGACACAAAGCATGGAAATGCTGCTGATTTGTTTCCAGCTCATCCCATTCCAGCTGCCAACAGCTTGTGGGTCTGAGGATGAAGGGGAGCCCATAGGTCAGTGATTCGCAGACCCCACTGGATTTTAGAGCCCTGGGAAGAGACAATGGAAGTGTGAGGCTCCTTAGTGGTATCCAGAACCTTGGCCCAGATCCACTTAAATTTAGCTTCAGGCTAAGACCCTATTGTGAAATCCCTTAGGTTAGGGCCTGTGAATTACTCACTTTATGATGTACCTATCAGGGTATGTGGCACACAGCAGAGTCTCAAAATCTGTGAATTAAGGAATGCAGCACCTATCCGGAGACCTCAAGACTCTGATGGGTATTTCCTCTCCTAAGCTCATTCTGTCCCATTCATTCCTGCTGCAGCAACCACATTACACAACAGTATACTAATGATCTGCATCCCAGATCTGGTTCTTCTGTGGCAAGATGCTGATCAAAGACACAGTTAAGAAGAGATTGCATTTAAGCAGTTTCCCCAGCAGCATCCATGGTCCCAAGTCCATAGATAAGCTTACTCAGCTTATCTCAGCTTACTGTACATGGGCACTGTGATAGAACTAGGAAGCAGTAAAAGTGGTCTTAGGCATCATTCCTAATTCAGCTGTGGAACTGATTCTCTTGGAAACAAGAATTCTAGCACTTAAAGAAATGGAAAAGTGGGGTAGATCCTAGGTGCCACTCATTCCTTGAAGATCAGATCTCTTTCCCAATGTCTAAACATATTAGGTGTTCAATAAATATTTGCTGAATGGATAAACATCATTCTGTTTATCTTTTTTTCCTCTGCATTCTCAGAGACTTTCTGGATTTCCAGTCTTCATCCAGACTTTGGAATACTCTACTGAGACATGTCTTTCACTGTCTCCTCATTCATCTCCACATACTGAGCAGGCCGACCTTGCTATTTCATGCCCACAGCTGCAGCTGCTACTCTGGGATTGGCCCCCTGCTGCCTGACACTTGGGGAACGCCCATGCCCTCCCTCTATCTTAGTCTTCCTAGCTGGAACCAATAAGAATAAATATTTGCATGGATTAGGGGGGTTCTCTTGGCCCATACTTGATCACCCGGAGCTTGTAACAAGAGGCTGATGAATGGGAAACCATCTGGTAGAGGGTGCTGAAGTCTCCTTTGGGGTCATCCATCCTCAAAGAGCCATCAGCTGTTCCAGGGAGTAGGGATGGGCTGAGAAGTCGCTCTTGAAGATCACATTTCAGGCACACTACAGTAAAAACAGCATTTGGGGAGGGATCGTTTGTCACAAGTTACCTCAGGCTATATGATTAAGAGAGATCATCTGCCACCCATTCCAGGTCCACCAGACAAGTAAGGGTTGGGAGACGCAGGGAAGTGGACAGAGGAGCAGGTCTGAAATAATATTGCTCTACATAACAGGTAACTTTATTTTCTGGGTGTGACATGAGTTTTTTCTTGTTTTACTTCTGGACTGGCTGAAAAGTTTCCTCACAGTGAGAGATCTGGCTTGTGACTGAGTCCGAGAGGAATGTGTGTCCTCTGTGGAGGAGGCAGTTAACACTGTAATATGCGGGGCCTTTTGGCAATCACAGAAGGAAATTCTGCCCCTCCTGCTTCCCTGTGGCTAAGCTTTGGCAAGACTGCAGGTCAGATGAAGGAAGAGTAGGAAAGCAGAAGTCAGGCAGTCAGCTGACAGCTACTGCTTCTCTGTGAGTTCTTCCAGGACATTCGAGGTAGGGGGAGGACTAAGTTCCTGAAACAGTTTATTTTATAATTCCCCAAGTGAATAGAACCTTTTGGACCTTGCAACATCACTGTGGCAACATACAACAGTTCTGAGGGTGTTTCAACTATGTATGGGTTATTCATGGAGGTTTTTTATGCATCCATAAGCTTCTTCTCCAGCAAGCATATTCACATGTCACAGTGTACAATGTTCTGTTGATCTAGATTTGAATCCTTGATATTATGAAAGTTTTAAATGAAATGTATATTGGGTTTAAGTATTGTTAACAAACTATGAATATATGAGTGTTCTGTACTTGTGAGAAGGTTAGCTATTGATGTCAGTGATTTATGAAATGACTGAAGTACCGGCAACATGAGGTAAAAACAAAAGTAGAAATAATGTAGAAAAAACAGGTCTAGCTGGGCCTGGCAACCAGACCTGGACATCATTTCTGGATGAGACAGCTCTTGGCCAGTTGTGTCCCAGAGCCCAGGAAGTCATTAGGAGGGACTCTGCCTAGGACTCCAGCTTCCCCTTATTCCCTCTGTGCCTGACTGCTTCATTGTCGGGTTCTTGGGCTTTAGGATTAGACGGCTGTGCTCATCTGGCTGAGGTTCTTGACTTTGGCTGCAGTAAGAATCACATAGTGAACTTGTCTGGTATGGATGTCTGGCCCCTACCTCACACCAGCAAAACTGGGATCTCTGGGGCTGGAGCTGATATTGGTATTTTTAAAAGTTCCTCATTTGATTCTTACTGTAGCCAGGGATGAGAACTACTGGAACCGTAGTCTCAGCAATGTTCCAGAGCTGGGAAAGATGTTTTAGCAGGGTTTGAGTCTAGAACCAGGTAGGCTTCTCATCACTCAGACCCAGGTGCAGAGACGGCAGAGACCAAGAATGAGAAAAGTTCATCTGAGGCAGATGGTGCTCTGTCAGAAAGAGCCTCTGAGGAAGCATCTAGGGAGAGGGTGAAGGGCCCGAGACGGCTACAGAAGCAGGTAGTGCTGGGTGGAGAACCTTGTAAGGAGAAGTCAGAGTGAACATCTGAGGAGCAGTTCTCAAAAGATTATATATTAGGAGAGCTCAGAGTTTTAATTAGCTTTTTTTCTTTTTCCTTAGGGAAACACATTTCTAGAAATTCACATAAAGAGCAGTGCATCAGTTTTGTAAACAATGGATAACTATAATATGGTCTCTATCGCGCTTGTCTAAACTCTCATGTGGGTCCTACCCACCCCAGTAGAGACCTACCTTCTCTGGACCTCATTCCAACTTGTGCCTGAGCATCTGGACTCCAGTGAAGATGTTTTCAGCAGTTTTGCCACCATCCTAGATCTAAGTTCTACCACCCACCCTGAAGACCTGTGGATTTCCAAAAAATAACTGCAGATGGAGATAAACATTCTGGGTCTGACCCTGGTGTTGAAACCCATGGGAAAAGAGAGGGCAAAGCAGAGAATTCTCAATATTACAATGGGAAAATGCCATGCAGCAGCAGAAGAAAGGCTGGTTGCAAGAGATCCTGGCTCTGGATTGCCCTAGCGCTCCTATTGAGAGAAGTGCCCAGAAGGATGCAGGTTGCATGGTAGGTAAGGGCCCAGGGTTTGTCACCAGGGTTTGTCTGAGGTTTGATGAATATCCTCTGGGCTGAGAGTAATCAAATGTATAAAATATAGATTTCTAATCCTAAGGGTTAAGAATGGGATTCAGAGTTGCTTTTGGCTTGGCTATTAATATTCTGTGCAGCCCTGGGGGAAACGTTTAATTCCTCTGGGTGACACTTTTCTCATCTGTAAACAGGGATAATATTATATTTATTGATTTTAAGACACTTTTTTTTTTCACTTACTAGTGTCTCTATGTATGTCTTACAATCACCATGGACCAGGCAGACACTCTTAACCCTTACTTACTACTCTAACCTAAAATAACTCTCTCAGTAAGAATAAAGTAATATTTCTAAGTGATAAACAGCAATGTGTCACATTTAATTGGAATTGTTTTTCTTTCTTGGTGGTATGTGAAATAATGTTATATCTTATAACTGACACCATTTAGGCTTCCCTGGGGGAGAAGGCAATGGCACCCCACTCCAGTACTCTTGCCTGGAAAATCCCATGGATGGAGGAGCCTGGTGGGCTACGGTCCATGGGGTCGCTAAGAGTCAGACACGACTGAGCGACTTCACTTTCACTTTTCACTTTCATGCACTGGAGAAGGAAATGGCAACCCACTCCAGTGTTCTTGCCTGGAGAATCCCAGGGATGAGGGAGCCTGGTGGCCTGATGTCTATGGGGTTGCACAGAGTCAGACACGACTGAAGTGACTTAGCAGCAGCAGCAGCAGGATTCCCTGGTAGCTCAGATGGTAAGAATCTGCCTGCAATGCAGGAGACCCAGGTTCTATCCCTGGGTTGGGAAGATCCTCTTGAGAAGAGAATGGCAACCCACTCCAGTATTCTTGCCTGGAGAATTCCATGGACAGAGGAGCCTGATGGGCAACAACAGTTCATGGGGTCGCAAAGAGTCAGACACGACTGAAGTGACTAACATTTTGACTTGTAGATTCAATGGCATGTGATAACAGTACCTGCATCATGTTGTTATGAAGATGAAAGAGGATAATGCAAGGAAAGGAGTTAACACAGTGTTTGGGAAAAATAGATAAGAAGTGAGCAATTGGTCTTGGGCAAAGCAAGTGGAATGGAGGCCTTGTGAAGGTTTTACACACAAAGGAAAGACAGTAAAATCAAGAGAAGTTGTTAAAGGTATCCCAGGTCCTAGACTGAAATGGGGGGGAAGAGGAGATAAATTAAGAACCCAGTGGCTATCTCTATAAAGAAAGGACCACGGTGTATCCTCCTCTTTGGGGACAGAAGTCGGTATCCATTTTTCTCATTAAGTGCTCACTCCTAAAGGTGAAGACATAATTTAGTCTTTTCCCTTTGAAGCTGTGGCTGACTATACTGATGGGTCCATTTTCAGGCCCTGCCACTCAGGTCTTAGGCCCACCTTCAAAGGGGGTGGAGACTAGAAATGGCTTTATCTCTACAATCTAGTGGGACCTGAATTAGGTATCACTGCCAGCTGGAACAGTATCCAGGACCTTGGTAGCATGCCTACAACACTGAACTGACCTCTTGGTTTCCACAATTGCCAGAACGTACTTCGTTAACATTGTCTAAGGCCACTAGTTGAACTCCCTGGGGCTCGTTCTATAGTTGCTTTTAGTTTTCCTCAATTTGGTGTCTTCCTATTGAGGTGGTCTCTATTTAATCATTTAATTTTGGTTCTTTTCCTCTCCTTACAGGCCCTATTCATGTTATTGAAGTGCCAGCTTACCTGAAATTATGTCAATAATATCTGCCACATCAAAAATGAAAACTTGAGAAAACATGTGATTCATTGCTCTCTCACGTAGTGTAGCGGATGCCCTATTATTGAGGTGTTTAAGTCTTTACACTGAAACTAACTGGCTCTTGCTGTCTGGGTTTAATCAGGTTCAGTTTCCTAATTGAAAATTAGAAGTTTAGAAATTCTCATGCTGACATTGGACAGCATCATCCACTCCTCTTCCAGTCCCTAAACCTCAACTACTCTGTATTCTGATGACTTTCCAATCCTAATTCTAGACTAGGATAATCACTGTCTATGTAATATATCTTTTAGGGAGAGTGTACTTGAATCATCTCTGGTTCTGGAAATGTTGCTGATACTCCGTGAAGGAAGAAGAAGGTGAACATGTTCTTGATCTGTTCCGCTGTTATGCAGCCAGGCTTTGAAGAAAATCTCCATGCTGACAATATCACTGTCTATAGTCTGAAGATCAATGTCAGTTGTCAGGATAGGACTCTCTGCAGAAGAAAGGGAAACAGTAGTTAGTGTTTAATTCTTTAGTTACAAATTTTGAAAAATATAAAATATTAAAAGCACCAATTTTTGAACCTATCAATTCTACCTCTAGATATCTAGCCTACAGACATTCTTGAATAGTACCTAAAGAGACATATGCAAAGATATTCAGCACAGCATTGTTGCAAAAACAAATAATTAGAGCCCCAAACAGGAAGCAATTCAAATGTCCATCAATAGGGAAATATTTAAATAAATTATGGCATAGACTATGGAGTATTATATAGCTGTTAGCAAAGTTAAATGTACTGACATGGAAAGCTAGGAGACAGTGAATACAGAAAGTTCTAGAACAGAGTATAGTGTGACTCATTTATATAAAAATAAAACTGTTAGCCTAAGTACATACATATGTATGGAAATGCCTTTTGCAGAGCTCTGGAAGTCCACTATTAAATTATTAATAGTGAACAGGAGTAGAAATAGAGCAGAATTCTGAGACACATTCACTTTTTATTATTCATACTTCTATACATTTGAATTTTGTTGTATTTATGTATTTTCTGTATTTAAAAAAATTTTAGAATACAAAAACAGTCAAAAATAATATAGCAATTCAAGTTCAGTTCAGGTCAGTCACTCACTCATGTGCGACTCTTTGCAACCACATGCACTGCAGCACAGCGGGCTTCCCTGTCCATCACCAGCTCCCAGAGCTTGCTCAAACTCATGTCCATCACGTCAGTGATGCCATCCAACTATCTCATCCTCTGTCGTCCCCTTCTCTTCCTGCCTTCAGTCTTTCCCAGCATCAAGGTCTTTTCCAGTGAGTCAGTTCTTAGCATCAGGTGGCCAAATTATTGGAGCTTCAGCTTCAGCATCAGTCATTCCAGTGAATATTCAGGACTGATTTCCTTTAGGATGGACTGGTTGGATCTCCTTGCAGTCCAAGAGACTCTCAAGAGTCTTCTCCAACACCACAGTTCAAAAGCATCAATTCTCCAGCGCTCATCTTTCTTTATGGTCCAACTCTCATATCCACAATGCAAGTTAAGTACTTACTTAATGAGGTCTTCAATTTTATGCTATTGTTTCACAGTGAAAATGTATTCAATTATTTCCTCTGTTATAAAACATAAATTTTAAAAAGACTAAGAGAGAAAAGATGAATTATAAGCTCCATCTTCTGATACAGAATTATACAAGTTTGCCATTGGTATACTACATCTCACAAGTGTGATTAGCAGTCAAGAAGACAGGGATGGTCTGGTGGAGTGTGATTTGATTTCCAATCTGAATGAATGGGACTAGGAAGGTGGGGGGGTGATGAGACTTTGCTGGTCTATTTCCTTCTTTAGGCAACCTAGCTCAGGAATTGGGATCTGGATCTGGACATAAAGTTTGTCAGTAAAAACCAAATATAAGGTGACAGAGGAAGCATAGAGAGAGGAAATGAGACAAGAGCTGGAAAGAAACTGAAGAGGAACCTGGATTTTTTTGCCTTACCATGATGGACTCTCAGAAATACTTTTACAAAGGGCCTAAGAAAAATCAGTCGCTCCAATGAATTAACTTCTATGTATGACTCATGGACCCCGAGGAGAACGCTGGTTTATTTCTAGAACGACATTCCTGAGGACAAGTCTGCAGAGGGGGCAGACTCCACAGGGAACAAAGGGCTTCAGTCCAACGTGTTGGCACCCACACAGGGAAAGTGTGGTGAGACTTAAGTGACTTCATGTCATGTTTATCAACTTATTATGTGGCTGAAAAGGGGCACCAAATGCATTTCTCTTTGGCCCAGTATAATTAAAACTTCACCACTGGTTACGCTCGCCTTCTGAGGTGGACCATATTCTGCCTGTGGGATGTGAATCTTTCTAAATAAACATGCTTTCACTTAAAAAAAAACTTCTACCATCTTCTGTGAATAGTTATGAGGATTCATTAGCTAATGAACTCATTCCATCAAGCAATAATATTAATTATGTACTACATAGAAGCTGAAATACTATAAAAGGTATATGATACTCTTTACCTTAATGAGTTTATAAAGCAACATTATTCTTGACCACTTCTCCTTAAACTCTCATCTACTCCACTATGTTTTCAGGTACTACAGTGATAAATATGAAGTCATTGTCAAATAAATGCTCCTCATAAGTGAGGAGAAATGTTCTTTTTAATAACGGGAAATTTATTGTGTCATAGGAAAAACAAGAAGTAATTTTTCTGAGTCTGGACTTCAACTTGAGTAATAAGTAGGGAAATGACTGAACAGCTTCTCTTCAAAGAAGCAAAGCAGTTATTAAAGTATAAGGAGGCAGATATAGAACTAAATAAATGAAGTAGGAAAAAGGATCTCAAAAAGTAGAGCAGATGATACTGCTTTGAGTTCAAACAACAGAATTTTGGAGAAGAGAAGTGTTTCTTTTTTCCTCCCCAGTGAAATGGTAAAAGATTAGAAAATTCCTACCATGGGTATGGGGACAGAGCAAAGTATCTCCCCATTAAGAATCTGGAAATAAGAAAAATAGTGGTTTCCTTAGATAGTTAAAAAATAAAGTTGATACAGAGTGATGAAGTCAATGAAAAACAATCACTTTAAAAAGAATGGCTTACAGACCAAAGCAAGATTTGGCTGGAGCCTATGGATGGTATTGGCTCATCCAAAGAATGAATGGATCCATTAGAAGGACAGACGGTTGCCCAGAAATGGAGCACAGAGAAAGGGAGGAACCGCGGTAGATGCTGGCCTTGATCAGCCAAGCATAGCACAGAGGAGAGGGCGTGCTAGCTCAGTGAGGAGTCCCAGTGGCAGGAAGGCAGGATACATTTGTCAAGCTTCTGCTCTTCTTGGTGATTATAGTGGTTATGGTTTTTCCTCTAAAATATTTCCTCTAAAGTATTCTTTAGTCTTGAGCTTGATAAGGTGAGTCTATCTCTGAGAAGATGTTGATGAGACCAACTTTCTGATCCTGTAAAGCTGAAGAAGCAAGTCTGAAACATGGCACCTCTGTGAAGGAAAATGCCAGTCTTCCCTGCAGACACATCGTCAGTGTTGCTAAGTTCTTTCCAACTTCTGTTTTGCAATTGAAAGTTTGTACCTTTTACTCTTCCTCAGCTATTTCTCTGCTCTCCTTACTACACTTCCTGTTTGTTCTCTATATCTATAACTCTGTTTCTGTTTAGTTACGTTTGTTCATTTGTTTTGTTGTTTGGATTCTACATATAAGTGAAATATGAAAGTATCTGTCTTTCTCATTTCACTTAGAATAATAGCTTCTAGGTCTACCCATGTTGCTGCAGATGGCAGGATTTACTTCTTGTTTTTACTATGGCTGAGTAATAGTCCATAAAGAATATTCCACATCTTCTTTATCCATTCATCTATTGATGGGCACTTAGGTTTCTTTCATATCTAGGCTACTATAAATAATGTTACAATAAACATAGGGATGCACATATCTTTTAAAATTAGTGTTTTTTCTTCAAATAAACACCCAGGAGTGGAAATGATGGATCATATGGTAGCTCTATTTTTAACTTTTTGAGGAAACTCCATATTGTTCTTCACAGTGGCTGCACCAATTTGCATTCCCACTAACAGTGCGTGAGAGTTCCCTTTTCTCCACATTCTTGTCAACACTTGTTATTTGTTATTTGTTGTCTTTTTGATAACAGCCATTCTGACAGGTGCCAAGTGATTGTGGTGTTGATTTGCATTTCTCTGATGATTAGTGATGCTGAGCATCTTTTCATGTGCCTGTTGACAGAGCATGTCTTCTTTGGAAAGATGTCTTTTTAGGCCCCTTACCCATTTTTAAATTGGGTTGTTTGTTTTTTGATGTTGAGTTGTATAGGTTCTATGTATATTTTGAATATCAATCCTTTTTTTAGATATATCATTTGCAAAAGGCAGTAGGCTGCCTTTTCATTCTGTTGATTGTTTCCTTCACTGTGCAACACTTTTTTGGTTTGCTGTAGTTCCATTTGTTTATTTTTGCTTTGCTTCCCTTGCCTGAGTAGACATATCCCAAAAAATATCGCTAAGACTGATACTGAAGAGTTCACTGCCTATGTTTTCTTCTAGAAGTTTTATGGTCTCAGATCTTACATTTAATTTTTTAATCCATTTTGAGCTTATTTTTGTATACGGTGTGAGAGTTCTCTCCAACTTAATCTGTAGGTTCTTTGGAGAGCCGCTGAGTACAGCTTCTTCCTTTGAAACAGTTCTCAGGAGTCGCCACAAAGGCGCTGTGCTTCAGGTTTGAGGGGACCTTCTCAGAAACAGTCACATTGTCCAAGCTAAACAGTGATGTGAAAACCAGAACACTTTGGAGGGGGCACTTCTTTTCCATATTCTCTGTCACTGGTCAAGGCATTCATTTCTCTGTGCCTGAATTATAGCAGTAGCCTCTTAGCTGCCCCACTAAACTCCATTCTTTCCCCTTTGGTACTTCTTACTACCAGTTAATTTTTCTAAAACATAGTTTCACCAGATCCTTCCTTTGCTAAAGAGCATATTCTGCCTTTCTGTTGTCAGCTTCTTTATTCTCTTCACTCATTCTGAACCATTTGTTACTTCTCATTATTCCTCAAACACCCCCATGTACACGTGCTCAAGTTGCTAAGTCGTGTCTGACTCTTTGTGATCCTATGGACTATAGCCCACCAAACTTCTTTGTCCATGGGATTTTCTAGGCAAGAATACTGGAGTGGGTTGCCATTTCCTTCTCCAGGGGATCTTCTCAACCCAGGGATTGAACCCATGTTTCCTGCGTTGGCAGGCAGATTTTTTTTTTTTTTAACCACTGAGCCACAGAGGAAGCCCTATCATACATTCCTCCTCGTTTCTACTTGTTGAGAGCCTATCAACACCCCTGCCCCTCCATCCTCCAGCTTAGTACCCTGCATAGAGCTGAAGTTCAGCAAATGCCTATTCCTCAGCTCTTATTACTTTTTTCTGTAACTCTTCTGCTTCAACTATATTAGTCTCCTT